AAATTATTGGGCTTATAGATTCTATGGTTGCACTGGCCCAGTTTAGAAACTTATTGGGCTGTATTTGATCCCGTGTAACCTCCGGGCTCCAACAAATACGGTTTTAATTGCTAAGAAATTGGCAAAAACTTGTAAAAAATTACAGAAAAAATTTTACGTTGTGATTTACCCAAAGTTAAAATGTTAAATACCACGAAATCATAAATGTGGCTATTAACTATTTATATTTAAGTCATGTATATATAAAACTGGGCACGATTAATGGGATTAAGGTTCTGTTTTCATTTTGTTCATGGGTAGATAAGGGGATTAATGCATGAATGGTACGTAAAATTAAGGGATAATTGCAACAAAAGTTCCAAACCTTTGAAATATTAGCAGATTTTTCCCAAACCTTTGATTTGTTTCCGTCGTCACCCATAACCTTCCCAACCGTTGCATGTGAGGCCCTTTTGGATAGTTTCCATCCATTTTTTTGTCAGTTGACTCAAAAATTAAGTTTGAACATATTTTTAATCAATGAAAAGGGGGCAAAATGGTAAATATCTATTAGAATAATTAAAATTGTCATCTGACCCCTGAATGATAATTGCAACCAGAGGCTTGAAATTTAACAAATTTCACATGAAGCCCCCGTCCCCAGGAGACGCAAATTGGTCGAAAATTAGATTAGGGTGGGGGTCGGTGGCAGCATCGCATGCGACACTGGACTCGACAGTGGTGATGTCGTGCGCTTTGCAGTGGTGAATGTTGCCCCTACAGCATCAACAAATGTTGCTGCGTAGAAAAATTAAAGCACGAAGCGTCGCTGAAGTGGAAGAAAACTACTGCAGTGCGAAGCGCCGCAAAAGTGGCGGAACGTCGCCGCTGTGACGTGCCACCACATGTCGCCAAGGACAATGCCAAAAAATAGCCGGCGCCTCCCCAATGATTTTACGGTTCAGTTGCCTACTTTAAAAAAAAAAAAGTACTTTGTTCTTTGTGGACTCGGCTAGTGAGGATTGAATAAGATAATAGATAATTTTATTTATTTATTTACTATTTAATCTTGTCTATTCGAATTTAGTATAATAGAAAATTGGATGACTTTAATTTTTGTTGACAAGTCGTCCCAAACCGACCAACCCAACCCGACCGATACTTGATTGGGTTAGGTTGGGTAATTTATTTATTTACTATTTAATCTTGTCTATTCGAATTTAGTATAATATAAAATTGGATGATTTTAATCTCTATTAACAAGTTGTCCACTTGTCCCAAACCGATCAACACAACCCGATCGATACTGGATTGGGTTATTTTCAACATTTACACCGGTTGTTAGGTTAAATTTTGATCAAACCGATCATACTAGGTTGAGCTTGGGTTGAGACAAAAATCGACCCAATACAACCCAATCAAATCCAATCCATGTCCACCCATTGGAATTTTACCTAATTGGACCCATGCCCATGTCCCCCACCACCACTTGATAGAATGCTGAGATGACGGAAACAAATTCTATTGTTTCTCGGGTTAATCCTTATCTTTACCTAATAATTCTGACTTGATCTCAAATTCCTCGTAGTAAAGACAAATCCACAAATGTAAAATAATTATCAATTTGGTACTTGCTCATCATTGTTTAATGCAAATTTAGTTGACAGAATCACAATTTGACATTGTAAATAAAGACTAAGGAGGTTGACATAATTACAACAACTTGTTGTAACGGTATAATTATGAGAGTTGTCACTATAAAAACTTCCATTTGTAACTACTGAAATTTTTGTCAGTTTCGTCGACAAATGGTCATCGAAAAAGTTTTCGAGGTAAAAAATTTTATCATCAAAGGTGATCTTTTTCTTAATATCGTGTCACGGTCGTATTTATCCTAGCAAATAACGAACAAGCCTAGAAGTTATTCGAATCTTTAGAATTTCTCAGATTTAATGAAGTCAAAGTGAGCATATCCAATCAAACTTAGAATTGACCACGAAATAAAACAAAACAATTCCTTCCATGACAAGGAGAAGTGTGATAGACCTAGCCAACCAACAAAAATAAAATTCGGGTCGAATCAAATGCCCCTAAGTGGATCCTACTGATAATCTCCACCATCGACGACAAATTTATGGCGTGTTCAGTAGAGATTAAAATCGAATTAAAATTGAAAAACTAATCATTTTGTTGACTTTTATTAGATGGGTGGGACCCAATAACAGCTATATTTTCAATTTTAATTCAATTTTGAATTGTACCATTAAATGAGCAAAAAATAAAAAATGTGGTTGTTGTAGTATTTAGGACGTGTTCGGTAGAGATTAAAATCGGATTAAAATTGAAAAACTAGCCGTTATTGTTGACTTTTATTAGACGAGTGAGACTTAATAACGGATATATTTCAATTTTAATTGAATTTTAATTTTTACCAAACAAGCATTTAATTAAAAACACTACTTTCGATCCAAACCGATAATATTACGACACCTATTCCTAAAATTTAGACCACATCAAACATGCAGCTCATTGGAGCGGTACACGTGTCCATCTTTGAGTACATTTTGTCCTTTAATCAGTACAGTTGTAAATTCTTGGATGTATTTTTGAGTGGCTGATTATTGGATATTTGGATATGAATAATGTGACTGTTTGGGACAAGATAACTCGAAACGTCGTCGTCGTAGTAAAGAGAAATGGTTCACTAAACTTCCAGAAATTAAAGAATATCGGTCAAAACAAACTTTCGTATTTGTCTTTGTATTTTGAAAGATAATACATAGTTACATACTTAATTTTCAGTTGTGATAGATGAAATCAAAATATCATAATTCTTATATTAAAAAAAAAAAACTAATCATTTATAATTAGAACTTACATTGGACAAACTATAATTTGATTATTCCTGTTGATTTTTGTTATGTGGTCGTTAAAGAATGAATACCCTAATACGAGATTTTGCTCTCGGTAATAGAATTTTTTGTAAATCATATGTCTGAAAGTTTAAACGAGTTTACAGTTTACTACATATTATACCACGACTCCCAGTATTATTAATTAGTTTGAAGGATCGTTTGGTATGACTTTTGCTTCTTGTGGAAGAACTCGTATGCCGTATTCTTCTAAAAACCCTTTAAACATATAAAGTTTTTTCAGAAAATTATTCTTAATCTTTTAAATAGCTTTTGACTTTTTCGAGAGCCTTGTCAAGTAAGCCCTGAATAATTAGCACGATTAGTTTCTAGCTCTCACGAAATATTATTTATTTTAAGCAATAAAAAACAAATTATTTGAAATTACTTGAGTGAGATGACTATGACTACATTAATTAATATTAGATATTCATCAGATAATATGATGCATAATTTATATATATACATATATTCAAACCTAATCACCTACAAGTACAACCACTTTTTTGTGCGCACAAGTACAAAAAACCTTTGGTGGTAGCGTAATGGAATGTAATTCTATGATGAAGACATTATGATTTGTTCGCTTATAAGCTGCTTAATCGAAAAAAGGTTAAAGGAGAGATTAGTTCGACAATTTTGCTATATATGCTATTCTAGACATGATTAAAAGAAGAAGAAGCAAATATACTTGATGAGAAATGATCTAATGAGCACCGGTGCTCATTTTATCCTAAGCACCGATGAGTTGGCACATTAATTCATTGGTGGATTGNCGTTTGGTATGACTTTTGCTTCTTGTGGAAGAACTCGTATGCCGTATTCTTCTAAAAACCCTTTAAACATATAAAGTTTTTTCAGAAAATTATTCTTAATCTTTTAAATAGCTTTTGACTTTTTCGAGAGCCTTGTCAAGTAAGCCCTGAATAATTAGCACGATTAGTTTCTAGCTCTCACGAAATATTATTTATTTTAAGCAATAAAAAACAAATTATTTGAAATTACTTGAGTGAGATGACTATGACTACATTAATTAATATTAGATATTCATCAGATAATATGATGCATAATTTATATATATATATATATTCAAACCTAATCACCTACAAGTACAACCACTTTTTTGTGCGCACAAGTACAAAAAACTTTGGTGGTAGCGTAATGGAATGTAATTCTATGATGAAGACATTATGATTTGTTCGCTTATAAGCTGCTTAATCGAAAAAAGGTTAAAGGAGAGATTAGTTCGACAATTTTGCTATATATGCTATTCTAGACATGATTAAAAGAAGAAGAAGCAAATATGCTTGATTATCCTATCTACTATATAGTTCAAATATACTAATTAAATGTTAGATACTTGTTGGAAGCCAACTCTTTGAAGGTGATTCGATGGCAGATATTCTGTGGGAATCATTACAGATAGTTTGCCCTCAGCCCATTTGCGTATTTTTTTGCCATCCGCCCATTTCGTATTTTGGACCTTAGCTCCATGGAACAATATGATACTGCTGAAACACAGAAAAATTGAAATCTTCGTGCTGCTTCGCCTAGCAGCACGATGCTTGTATTGCTCTCCAACAACCTCGTTTTCACGGTTTAGGCTGTAATATATTGATCTAATCGGTAACAATATTTTTCTTAATCGAAGTCTTTTTCGACTCTGTCCTCTCCTGCGAAGAAAGCGAATTCCCTTTTTTATTATGAAAAAACTTTTTATTTGTATCTTTGATTTGGAAGAGCTTTACATATGTGACAATTAAAGATAAAATTTTAACTTTCTTTCTTATTTCAATTATGCCTAATATATCGAGCTGTCCAAATATGTCATCAATGTAATTACATAATGCTTTTTTTCCCCTAAATATGTGGGCTGTATTTATCCCAAATGTGATGAAAAATTGGTTGCTGACTTGCAGTTACAATTATTTATTTATTTTTTCAAAAACGACAAATTGTTTTTGTAGTATTTATTTATAATATAAAACTCTCTTATTGGGTTTTTTATATATATAAAAACTTGGCTTTCTCATAAGGATCTTTATTTATTCTTGTATCCAACTGCCTCAACCTTCTCTCTCAATCTCTCTCTCTCGAAAAAAAAAAAAAATGAGCAGTTTGAGCGTGGTGGAGGCAAAGCTGCCGGCGGGGTTTAGGTTCCATCCAAGAGATGATGAACTCATATGTGATTATTTGATGAAATGGGTGTCCACAGGAGGAGGAGGTGGAGGTGGTGGTGGTGGCAGCTCTGCTGCTGGACATAGCCAGCTTCCTCTTCTGATCGAAGTCGACCTCAACAAGTGTGAACCTTGGGACATTTCCGGTTAGGACTCTACGTACTCGTTCTTATAAATTTATAAATTGCAATCAAAATTTGTTCGTTATCCTGTTTAGTACGAGTCGAGTCAATTCAAGTATGTCAAAAGTTGTCCTTGTTCATTGGTGATGGCTTTTCAAAACACAAATTGGAAACATCTACATAATAAAAAGTTCGATTTTGCTACCGGTACATCAAGGTGTATATAGGCGTGTACATCACACTCACAGGGGGTGGGACCCGCTCGAATAAAAATTAACTATTTGTTTTTATGTACTTTAGCCATTTCACCACTCAAAGGAAGCCACAAATTCATCCTGGAATTGGTTTCATGGATCAAAATTTGTCATCTTAATTAAATTACTTAAGGCCTATGGATTTTCATATATAAGCAAATAATTCTACCTTTTCAAAGGGCAAAAAAAAAAATTATTTCTTTAATATTTATCACTTTAATTTCTAGAAATATATAAACTGAAGCTAGTTATCTTGAAAATAATCTACACTAATATTTGATTATGTTCTCTGCATGTGATCCGTGGATTTATAAATGGGAGACTTTTAAACAATATACAAAAACGTAGAAATAATATGTTTTCATGTGCTTGCCTACAAATTTAGGGGTTTTTTGACACGACCTTTAAAAAAAAATAGTAAATTTCGATAAAAGATGATGAAATCGTGTATGATTGAAAGTTGATAAAAATTGTGGATTTCATAAAATTTGAGATTAAAATTAATTGTTGACCTCGATCTTGACCTGCACTTATACATAAAAATTAAATATTTCTCGATCATCTCTTGCAAATTCTCATTCATCCACCTTTTTTAAGAAATTGACATTCTTTGTCCTAACCAAAAGATGGCACAGCCATTTGAGATAATAATTCGATTCAAATCAAAAGTCACATCAAGCATCGTCGCCGTGCACCTAATCTCAACTACACACGTGTATGTACAGTTAAAAAATATTTAATACGTTAAATTGAACATGAAAGTAAACAAACATCTCACGTACGTCTCTTTTGTAAACTACACGTTTATTCAAGTTATTAGAAACCGTCTTTTGAATTTGATCCTATTACGATTATATGAAGTCATAGTCATAGTTCCTATTTATTTATTATTATTTTTGAAATATTGTTGAAAAACTTGAACTTCCGGAATTTTAATTACCTATCTTTTTCCCAATTCCTGTAATTACCATCATATTAATTGTTCTCAATTATGAATTGGACTATTGGAGATTTTCGGCAGTTTTGCCCATACATAATTATTGGACTCACACTCAGCTATCGAGGGTGAGTCGCCTGGGGCCCAAACTTTTTTGAACTGTTGTCCACGTGTTTGTTTCCAATAGGTCATCATCACCCTGCTAGCGTCATTCCGCGATCAAATTTGACATCATCAAATCCTTTTTTTCCCCTTAAATCACTTTTAATATTTTTTACGGTCGTCTGAATCTTCATCAGTTATTTATTAAAAACAATCGTTATTACTAAAAGAAGGAAGTTCGTTTGAAAAATATTGTACCGAGCATGTTATTGAATTCGATTTTTCAAAGATAAGGATAGTAAGATGTGAGCTATTTTTTCCGTCCCCACTCATTTATGAAAGTCTAACTACTTTAATGAATGAATTTGACTTTCAGATTAGCAACTAATTCTAATTTCATTTTACAGAAGCAGCTTGTGTTGGAGGCAAGGATTGGTACTTCTATAGCCAACGTGACAGAAAATATGCAACTGGATTACGAACAAATCGAGCTACGGCTTCTGGATATTGGAAGGCCACTGGGAAGGACAGGGCAGTATTTCGAAAGAGTACCCTAGTCGGGATGAGAAAGACTTTGGTATTCTACGAGGGTCGAGCACCCAAAGGAAGAAAGACTAGTTGGGTTATGCACGAATTTCGCCTCGAAGGACCCCTTGCCCCTCCAAAATTAATTTCTCCCATCATGGTATGGTATCCATAGTCTACCCTCTCTCACATGTTAGAAACTACCTAGGTTAATAATTATATACCTAACTCTTTAATAGTTAAGTTTGACTAATTGTTACATATTAGTTTCATAATCTATCTTTGTCTTTAACGCAACCCATCAAAATTATAGACGGCGAAAATTCTATACAGGACAGAAGAACTTTTGAAAAATATTTTTATTAAAGAACTCTGTCTGAGTCAAGACACCATCATCAGGGATCGTGTAATATATTAATTATTTATTGCGTTGTATGATTATGCAGGTAGATTGGGTGTTATGCAAAGTGTTCAACAAAAACAAATCAGAAGTTTGTGCCAAACAAGAATTGGGAAGCATTAATTATGAATTTGATCATAATCATAAGACAAATTCTTGGACTCTTCCACCATTAATGGAACCCTACATCTCCTTTGATCAAATTGATGAGCAAGTGTCCTGCTTCTCCATTTTAACCCCAAACCCTATTTTCTCAAACCTCACCCACATGGATCAAGATTTGTCCACAAATATCATGCCAACTTTTCCATATCAACTTGGAGTGCAAATTAATTCAAACACTTCTTATGACAAAAAAGTGGTGACCGATGTTTTGAAGCGAGACACGGCGAACCCTAACACGAACGGGTCCCCGAGCATCGGGGAAGGAAGTTCGGAGAGTTACATGTCTGAAGTTGGATGGCAACCCTGGCTTTTGTCTGAAAATTGCAAACAGTTAAATACATTAGACTATGGTAAATAGATATATGATTTGTCTTTCTAAGTTTAGCAATGTAAAATTGTACCCTATATATTGGTAAGTTGCAGATTTTTACTTGCTTTTATTTAAAAAAGATTGTCCCCCCCAAAAAAAGTCAGCAAGTTTCTGCCAGAATATTCATAATTTCTATAGAAAATGTGTAATTCTGATATCCATATATATATATATTGTGAGTATTGTGCTTAACATCTAGAAAAAATTAAGCCCCAATTCTATTTTGCTAAAATTCATATTTTTAATAGAGTTCAATAAACGTAAATGAAAAATTGTGTACTTGAGAAATTGATAAAAGTTGTGAATTTCATGAAATGTATGATTAAAACGAATTTTAATAAATGGGGATTAAACATTGACTAAATGTAGCAAGTGCTGCTTAACGATTTAGTAGGAGACATAAATTAAATATTTGTCGTTGTATCACAAGAGTAAGTTCAATAATTGAGGGCGTGTTCGGTCGTGCTTAAAATTTGATTAAAATTGAAAATATAGTCGTTATTGGGTCCCACTCGTCTAATAAAAGTCAACAATAACGACTAATTTTTTCAATTTTAATCCGATTTTTATCTCTACTGAACACGTCCTCACTAGATAAAAGAAGAGTTTTTACCATGGCAAATTGGCAATTTGTCGTCATAAAAGATCACTAGAACTATTGTCAAAACGTCGTTCTAAAGGGTCGTTTTTCTTGTAGCGACTTGTTTTTATATATAAGTAAATCATCCTGTAAATATATCTTACTAGGTATTAGCCTAGTATGGGCGGCGATATGAAATCGACCCGGTTTGTTATTTTAACTTGTTTTAATTTTCAATGAAACTGATAGTTAGAGCTGGCATTAACTTAGTTTGAATAATTCATTTTTCAACTTGCCATTTTTTTCTCTAGTGTCAAGGATATGAAATTAAATAAAAGAAACGCGTTTGTGTTACATTATTATATGGCGACTATCCCTTTCATCTACTCAGTTGAACAGGAAATTAGAAGACTATTATATAAAGGGGGGAAAAAAAAAGACTAAATACATATAAAATCACATCATAGATTCATTGACTTAATAATTTTCTAAATAAATATTTACTTTTTGTTGTTTATCTTCCAGAGCCATTGATCATCATCGTTATTTATCTCGTTAACGACGGAGCTTCACATCCAAATTGAAAACCTCCTTACCGTAAAAACAATTTTAACGTCTATTTTTAATAAATTTGAAGTTCGTTGCATAAATCTCTTCATCTTTTCAATGTCAAAGGAAATAAGAACCCTCTGGTAGGATTTCTGCTTCTTGTAGAAGAGATTTTTTGGGTCGTTTTGTTTGAATAGACAAAAAAATTATCCAGACATGTTAAAAAGACTTATTATTCTTGTAATCGATTTTTGATTTTTTTTCAAAAATCATACTACGTTTATTTCGGTGAACTAATTTATTTTTTCACGCCGCGGATGTTTGAACAAGTAACATAATCTTGTCTTATAGTCGACCAAACAAATTTTAGTGTCCTTTTCAGTTTCACACGAGGGGCACTATATTATTCCAAGTTCAACCAAACAATAGGGACATTAATATTATTTTTAATGTTATTGTGTGAATAAAGTGAACACATAGTGCATATAAAGAGGATAAAAGTATTAGAGTTAGGTTGGGTTGAAGAGCCAAAAAGTCTAATCCTTTAGTATAAATGATTCTCGAAAGGAACATATCACCGAACTCCCTTAATAATTGGGGCGCTAAACAACATTTTCCTCTTACTGTAAGCAAGATTGTTGAAAATTTTGGATTTTTTTTTTTCAAGAGTTCGTGCATGTTAGGCGGGACTTGTATTTTTTTGTGAAAGAGATTCCTGAAACAAAATACGTTACGTCAGCTCCCTCTAAAGGTCTTTCAGTCAGATAAAATTATTCATACATGTTTAAGAGTAACTCTTTAGTTTTAGAATAGCCTTTTGACTTTTTAAAAATCATCTCAGACAAACCCCTAATCTCTAATTGATCCTCTTAGTCCAACATATTAGTTTGAATATCTATTACATCGTATTTAGGGAGAAACTTTCAAGAAAGAATAAAGTGGTTAGACAAATGAAAAATAAAGCGATCATTACTGAATCTTGATATATGTTGGTTTAATAAAATTTAAATTGAATTTTGATATACGTTGAAGATAATTTTATTCCTTAAAAATCGGCCATGTGCTTTCCACGTGACATAATCATATGCCACTATGGGGTTGAAAAGCACGATTTCGAAGGTTGAGAGCGAAAAGCTTCATTGCATTAAATGTAGGGCACTAAATATGCAATTTTAACATTGGCCACACAATTTTGCCCCTCAAAAAATCCATAGTATGCGCTCTACATAAGATATTAACACCAAGTTCGATAAAAAATACAAAAATGACTGACCATTGAATTGCTAGACATATAATAAGTTCGATAAACCAAACGTGATTGGAAAGCAAAGCCATTTTTTGCATTCCAAGACGACTAATCTTATCTTATAATAAGTGTGTCGCGTGGTGAATCAATTATAGTTGTATGATCAATTGTGATTAATTTGAACATGGATGCATCATTATGCTAACGAGAATGAACTTTGGGGATTGAAAAGTTCGATTTCAAAAGGGGGGACGAAAAATGCAAGAGCACTAAAAGTCAAGGAAATTTTTTAATTTATTAAACCGATATCTACTACCCGACACTTTCCGTGTTCTGTATGATCTCTACCAAAAGTTTTAAATTGGGCCACAAATGGGCTCTTATATCAAAATTGGGCCAAAATGGGCTCTTATATCAAAATTGGGCCAAAATGGGCTCTTATTCCCAATTGGGTCTCCTCCAGTTATGTTACCAATTGGGCCTGTCCAAAATATCAGAAACGAATCATCCGCACGCTACACCTTCTTCTTCCTTTCTATTTATTTCACTTCTTTTGCTTGCTTCCAAAATCCTCTCTCTCTAGTTCTACTTCACTTCCTCTCTCTAAAAATTTCAAAATTGTTTAGTAATTATAAAAAATATGCATTTAATTTTCCCTCCAAAACCGCAGTATTTATCCTCCAAAAGCTGTAATTTTAGCTCGCCAAGTTTCTCAAATGCTTCTTCGCTTCAAGTTATAGTTCTGGCCTCTCGTCCCCGTTTGAGACCAAGTTCTTTGATGAAAAAAGTTAGGGTTCGGTCAGAATTTGATGCCAAAGTGAATGGAGCTCTGTCCACTGATTTTGACCCTCGGTTCCTTGACAGGGTTTGTTTTTAAAATTTGTATTCTTCGGACGCTACATTTACTTCTAGTAATTATCCGTATTGCATGTTTAAGTTCAAAAAGGTTATATTTTAAAGTTAAACATGTGCTAGGAAAGTATGTTTTGATTGTTTTCTTTAATTTCTCATGTTATTGTGCTTCGAATTTGTACACTTGTAGCATGTGTTTTAATTAGTTAGCTCGATTATGGATGAATTAGGGATTATTTTGATTCATTTATGAACCAGTTTCTCTGGAATCAATTGGAGAATATATGGTTTTATTAGTTCAAATCTGAAATTACTAAATTATTTTTTTAGACCATGCTTTAGTTTATTACTTGTATGGATTATTCATAGATAAAAGTTTTTTATTATTTAGCGAAGATTGTTCTTTGTTAGCTATGACAGATGAATTGTTTTTGAATGTGGGGATTGTTGGGCTCCAATTATAATTTCTCATGTTATTGTGCTTCGAATTTGTACACTTGTAGCATGTGTTTTAATTAGTTAGCTCGATTATGGATGAATTAGGGATTATTTTGATTCATTTATGAACCAGTTTCTCTGGAATCAATTGGGGAATATATGGTTTTATTAGTTCAAATCTGAAATTACTAAATTATTTTTTTAAACCATGCTTTAGTTTATTACTTGTATGGATTATTCATAGATAAAACTATGACAGATGAATTGTTTTTGAAGCTAGTAGTTATCACAGAGTTGGACAATAAAACCCTGTCTGTCCATTTGCATTGGATTGGCGCTTGACAAGTATTTTTCACTGTCCTATAATTTGAGTAGGCTTTCATTCCTGTGCAGTCTTTGACTAATATAAATGGGCTTTTGAGAGGATTCTTTAAGCAACAAAAACAATGAGTAGCATTATTATCCTATAATTCGAGTAGGCTTTCATTCTTGTGCAGTCTTTGACTAATATAAACGGGCTTTTGAGAGGATTCTTTAATCAACAAAAACAATGAGTAGCATTATTATGAAGTAGTGGTGGTCAGGATATACCTGCAGCATGGGCGACATACTGATGGGTCTAGAATACTGCGAGCCTTCCCCTAAACTTTTTCACGTCATCCCTTTTGTGTAATGATCTCTTCAAGTGAGTGCATGACCACCCATTTCACATGGTCTCACCTCGTATATGCCACCCTATCACAAAACACCAAATGTATTTGTACTAATTTTTTCTTTTCATAGCACCCAAATTTTTTGGTGATAAAGGAATATGATAATTGTATGCATGCTCGCATCTGACAGTCTATAGACAATTCATCTGGTAAACGCAATTATTAGCAACGGGAATTGATTGTTAAAGAGAACTGGTGGTTCTAAATTTCGGATGAATACACCAGGGGATTTCTTTTGCATTACTGTAAGATGTGGTCTATCTATTATGACAATTTTCTACATTTCTTTTCTTGACTTTGTTTTTAGAACAACGCAATCCACACAGTAACTGTTTTCAACTGCAGTTTGTTAATACCAAAGAGCAATTTTTCATTTGTGTCTTGGAGTCCCAGGTCCTGGGACCCTATCCACCTTATAAGAAGATTGTAGCAGGAGTGTCAAGTTGTAGAGTGAGTAATAACCTAATTATAAAAAGGAGAAATGTTCTACACATATTATAGCTGTACAAACAGGAAGTTTTGACATTAAGTTAGAAAAGATTGGAGCTTTCGCGTGAGCTGCACTGCATAAGAGTCAATAATTCTTTCAGAAAAGTTTCACTAGCTTCCTGGAACGTCCACTTCTCTCATTTTTACTAAAAGCTTCCTCTTTTCTTTTCTTTGTTATTTATGAGGCTGTAACACATGTTGTCTACATAGTATATTTATATGACACTACTTATTACTATCTCACTGTGTAAAATTTGTGTTTCAGCAAAAAGCACTTGATGCTGCTATGAATGACATAAATAGCTCATTTGGGAAAGGGAGTGTTACAAGATTGGGAAGTGCTGGTGGAGCTCTAGTGTAGGTGTTGTTTTTTGATGATAATTTTGCTGTATCACGTTTTACTTGTTTTTATCACGTTTGCTGTTTCTTACGCTTCCTTTTCCTTGTGCAGTGAAACATTTCCAAGTGGCTGCTTAACTTTAGACTTTGCTTTAGGCGGTGGCCTTCCAAAAGGAAGGATTGTCGAGGTGTTACATTTAGTACCTTTATGCTCTTATCCATCTAATTTTCTGTGGTTGCAACCCGTGTCTTTCTGTTTCTAGAAGCTGTGACACCAAAGGTCTGATAATAACAATGCATTAACATTCTACTGATGTACATGTATTTATCATTGTGGTCCGCAACATATACACTGCCAGAACTTTTACCAGATATTATGAGCTGCCGGATCCTGACTCAACTGCACTTGAT